TGTGTGTGTGTGTGTGTGTGTGTGTGTGTGTGTGTGTGTGTGTGTGTGTGTGTGGCAGGAAGCTGTCATTAGTGGATCAGGGTGATGATGATGATGACTCTGTGGTTTCATGTTGTGAAGGCTCAGCAGCCCGGACCAGCAGCAGCCGAGCCTGAGGCCTCTGGTCCGGTGGTTCGAGACCGACGTGGTGCCCTGACCATCACGGTGCGCGCCAAGCCCGGCTCCAAACACAGCGCCATCACAGGTACGAGATGACGCGTCACACCTGGAGCAGCACATTTTATTACACGATGAAAACTCTGCCAGTCAAAGTGTTTCCTCTCCGCTGCTCCTGCAGACGTCTCCGCAGAGGCGGTGGGAGTTTCCATCGCTGCACCCCCGACTGACGGAGAAGCCAACACTGAGCTTATTCACTTCCTGGCTCAAGTTCTGGGCCTGAAGAAAAGTCACATCTCTCTCGACAAGGTCCCTGAAACTTCTTCTTCAGTCTCCGTTCACTTTCTGTCGCCTCCTGTTTGTTTTTCACCTCTTCATCAATCATCTTCCACTTTCTTCTGCCAACTCTCCTCCTCTTCACCGCTGAGCTTCCTGCGAGGAAGCAGTAACATGTTATTATCTTTATGTCGATAACAGAACATATTAGAAAATCAACATCACAAAGACGTGTCTGTTCCGTGGAGACTCCGTCTGTCAGAAGCTGAACAGTTAATAACAAGTGTTACATCACTTCCTGAGGCGGAGGGAAGATTTAGAAAACAAAGAGAACAATGTCACTTTACCAACAACTGAATACAGTCGTTGTATTTCTGGTGCGAGGTAATAAAACTGAATTTATCCTGATGTGGTGAATTAGTGTCGTCAGGTGTGTTAGCGTGGGATTCAAACTGATACTGAGTCAAGACGCTCCTGTGGACGGAGTAATAAAGATGATGCTGTACTTCTGTCTGCTCCTCCTGTCTCCTTCAGGGCTGCAGGTCCAGGGACAAGCTGGTCAGAGTGGACTCGTCCCTCAGTGTGGAGGAGGTGTTGAGGAGACTCAGAGAGGCCACAGGCTGAGGGGAGGCTCAGAGGAGGTGCACGCACACGACCTGTAATAAGAAGGACGAGTGTGTATGTCCATGAAGTCCTGTTGGTCCTGCGGGACACGGGGACGCTCCAGTCTCAGCTCAACACATTCTGTAATGACTCACTGAAGCTACTGTACTTTGTCCTCACAGGGTTTCACAGCTGGACCAGTGGGACACTTGAGGACTCTGAGCATCACCATGGAAACAGACCGGTGCAGACGGTGTTGCTGGGACGAAAAGGACGTCTGTCGCCATGACGACTGGATGTGATGTGTGTGAACGTCTGAAGTGAATCATTAAAGTGTCACGTGATTAAATCAGCTGTTGAGGAAGAGTGAACAGATTCTTTGATAAAACGTGAAATATTCCTTCTCCTGCATCTTATTCACACCTGCTGTGTAAACACGGCTGTACCAGTAGGTGGCGCCTCGTTCCTGTGAGATCTGAAGGCACTGATGGAAACATGTATGTTGAGTTCACCTGTAACATGAAACCACAACACAACAGTTCATCATGTCACCAACATGCACACGTTTGTCCCTGTGAGACAAAATAAATGGACAAACTCCAGATGCTAATTACACTTTACTAAAGTGTAATACAACTAGTACAAATAATGTAGTACAAATACTAAGGTCCAGTTTCAATATGCCAGTACAAATACTTACACTACTACTAATCATTTCTCAAACACGATAGTAATCATCTGTTAAAAAACCATAAACCAGAGTGTGAGCGGCGCTCAGAGAGTCGACCACATGAAACCATCGTGACCTCGAGTCGAACTTCAGCTCTGATGGTTTGAATCAGTCAAATAAGACTGAACCTTAAATTCCCTGAGGAAGGAAGTGAACACCAGGACAGATGTTGAATCAGAATCTGAGTTCATGGAATCAAGTGTTGGACCAGGACCACATGTCGGCGTCTACACTCTGGAGAAGAAGGGATGAAAAACAGCAGGTGAGCGTGAACGAGTGCAGCTGTGATGAGCTGCAGCATCAAACCTTGGACAGATGACGTCACAGCGCCCTGAGCTGATTCTGCAAACACACTGGAGTTTATTTTTACTGACAACATTATATAAGATTCATGGAGTTGATTCCTGCTGCGTCTCCTCTGCTGATCCTGGATCAGCAGCTTTACGTCTGCAGCTCAGGCTCCTGTCAGGCTGACGGATGTTTGAGACCCAGAGCTAAGCTTCTGCCGGCTGGAGGCACGTCCTCCCTCCTAAACTTAAATCCTCTTCTGCTGCATGCTGGGAAACGTCTCAGCGGACAGTTTGTAAACAGTTTACTTTTCCTGCAGGTTCCAGCCTCTAGAATAAAACAGTGATGAGACGTTCCCTCAGGGACACAGAGTCGATGGAGGCAGCTTCAGGGAACAGTGAGGGAACTGAAGCTTTTCTGAAAGACGCTCTGTGGGATGTGACTAAGTACATTTTCTAGTATCTCTAATTAAGTAAATCAATGTTCAGGTACTTTTACTACAGAGCCAGACTGATATATTATCTAAACTCAATTATTCCTAAGATGTTGTTATAAAAAATCAACAGGTCATAAACCCCGCCTCTTCCATGTTAGCAGATGGGACATGGACCAAACTAAAAAAATCCCAGTAGACGTGTTTGAGTATCGTTAAAAGTGCTACACAAACAAAATGCAGTATAATTATAAATACTCTATAAATACAGCACCACTGCCTGAGAAGTGGCTTCATGTGGAGAACATCTCATTATCAAAGTGTCAGTTAAGAAGTTGGACGTGACGCAGCTGCTTGTTCCGTTGATTGTTTATCACAGTGATGTTTGACATGAAGCTGACAGAAGAAGAAGAGTTGGATGAAGAAAGGCCCGGAGCCAGAGGATCAAACTCCCACACGACAGGAAGAAGAAGAGAGGATGAAAAGATGCAGATCCTCTCAGAACCAGCAGCTTTTGTTTCGAGGATGTTTCAGGATGTTTTTATGGGACCGATTCCATCCAGAGACAATCACAGATCAAATCGTGGAGACGGGATTTAAACCTCTTACTTCAGTCTGCAGCTTTATTTATAGTCGAGCTGGCCCCCGGGAGCTGACGCAGCTTTAATGCTGAGTTTGCCCCACGCTCTCACTCTAATGCTGCGCTGACAGCTGCAGGATTTCACTCCAATGTTTACGACCGAAATCCGCTCAGTTTGTGGACGTAAATAAAAATCTGGGCTCATCACAAAGTTTAAAAGAATCACAAAGAATAACGATCAGTGAGCAGCTGAAGAAAAGAGGACGAAGCTCAGGAGCTGAGAAAACATGACTCTGTATATATACTGTATATATATATATATTATTTATATTGTATAGGTGTTACTTCATCTCACCTGAAGGGCCTTCCAAAAATTGAAATATTCCAAGAGACACCATTGGGAAGATTTCATGAACTGAGTCAGAACAGCTGAGAACAGCTGACCCCCGTGTGACAGGAAGACAGGAAGACAGGAAGACGTGATGAAGGCCGGTACAAGTGCTTCAGTGGCAACTTTAAGACCTGCACCGAATAAACAAGGACTTTGTGGCCGGACTCCAAGACACACTCCACTCTTGACCACAAGGAACATCAGAAGTCGACTACAATGAGCCAGGAGGACAGTGGATGAGACTACAGCGTTTTGAGAGACAGTTCTATGGACTGATGAAACCAAACAGGAACTGTTTGGACACATGGACAAGCGGCATGTCTGGCCTATGACCAGAAGAATACCATCCCCACGGTCGAGCATGGAGGCGGGTCATTGATGATGTGGGGCAGGTTTTCTGCGGCAGGAAGTGGCAATCTTGTTCGTGTCCCTGGCATCATGGATTCCAGAAACACCCGGACATTTTAAAGAGAACGTGATGCCTCCGGTTCACAAACGAAACCTTGGTGATCATTGGACTTTCCAGCAAGACAATGATCCCAAGCACACCTCCAAGTCAACCGAAGCTTGGTTGAGAAAAAGATCCTGGAACGTCTCAGTCACCAGATTTAAATCTGATTGAAAATCTTTGGTGGGTTTTAAAGACCCTAACCCAGCTGCAGCACGGACACCATCGAACATCAGGGAGCTGGAGGTTTCTGCACGTGAGGAACGGACAACGATTCCATCGAGAAACTTCGTCTCTTCGAGAAAACGTTTGTTAGAAGTTATAAAAGCTAAAGGATGCACCAGTACTGAAGCTGGGGGGGGGGGTAATACTGCACGTTAAAAAAGTTTAATTTTTTTATTTGATCTTCAAAGTGAATTCAACTTCTGTTGTCAAATAACTCAAATATGTTTCAATTGTCTTTTATCATCGTTGTCTTTCATCCACATCACTTTGATGTCTGAGGCTGAAGATTTCTGATCTGTGTGAATAAAAACTGGTTCAAAGTCTCTCTCTCTCTCTCTCTCTCTCCATGTTAAAGTCTCTCTCTCTCTCTCTCTCTCTC